GATAATCAAACAGAATCCCTCAGAGCAACGCAGACTATGAGTGAGAATTTGATATCCAGATGTGTGCATCGATCTAATGGGAAAAAAAAAATCTAGGCACCAGCGAACATTGTACACGCGAAGAAGTATCCGAGCTGCATCAAGTGAGAAACCAGCTAAAAGAAGCGAAAGAGAAAATCAAGCACCTCGGGGATAGGGTGATAATGTACAGGTACAGATGGTTGGAGGAGTACTACCGCGCCGACAACCTCGAGCGTCATATGCCCAGTGGTGTCCACGTACCCGGCCTTGCTCAAATACCACAAGGTACCTCGTCTCCTGGCCTCTGCCCAGAGTTCTTGGTCGGGGATAGTATGTGAGAGATTCGGGACTGGAGGAATCGAATGAGGGCGCTTGTGGGAGGACGTTATTCTGTGTCCGAAGTTTAGATTCATGACTACTCCAGTATAGTATTGATACATAGTCTATCACATCATGCTTTGTGCCTGTTCTACAAGACATATCTGATCAAAACGCAGGGTAATACTACTTGTAGGCGAAATAGCAACCTCGGCGCTATTCTTCTTCACATTACATTTCGTGACAGGTAAATATATGTCCGCGAGAATCCCCTTCCAGAACAAGGACCTGTTGGTTTTTTCTGCGGGGAGAGCTGGGCTCAGATCCTTGGCGGGAATGTGGTAGTGTTGAAGTGCAGCCCCTGCATTACTGGATGTTGCAGAATACAGCGATACAATCTTCAGGTGCGGGTCCGTTCGCACCGCAGAAGGGGTCAGGGACAAGCCGTGAACACAAATCGTTTGTGTAACCTCCCTCCCATGAAACCTACTGCGACTTTCAACACTGCGTGATGCAGAAGGAGCATCGAGGAATACTCCTTGCCCATTAACCAGGGTAGAGGGCCTTCAATACAAAAAGATAAGCAAAAGATCTGATTGCTCCGTAGAATGCTCACCACTGTCTGTGAGTTTGTCTGCTCTGGTGTCAATATCATCTTGGGCGTCCTGGGGATCGACAGTCCAGGGGTCAAGTGTCGACGAGCTGGGTGTGATGCTCGACGATTCATGATGCGCAGGATTCTCTGGGTCGGCGGTCCAGGAAGCCCACGACGACAGGCTACTAACTACGCTGGTGGAAGAACTGGCTGGAAGCTGGACAGGTGGGGGGGGTAATGCTTCGCGGCTGCATTGTTGTTATGTACGAGCTTTTCCGGATTTTACAGAAGGAAACCAAATCTGGTCCTTCCAGTATCGCCCCATTCATTCTCATCCCATAACTAAGAGTCATAAGCAATTTAGTCGCTAAGAAAATATGCGCAGCACCTACCTAGTGACGACATCATCACGTGTGAGAGTCATACGCGCCTGCCCATGCACAGCGACTGTGCAAGTGTTGGAAGCGATGCTGTATAGCGTGGCTCGGTAGCCCTTCCGATCGCCCCCAACAATGAAAACTTCTTGGCCAATGATATTATCGAATGAATCCAACTTCGCGTTGCATACCTTTATCACGAATCTGATAGGGACGTTGATCTGTCACAAGTGTCAGAAATGCATGCCTCGAAGAGATCGATACTTACGAGGGAGTGATCACTATCAGATAGAAAGGTCAAGCAAGCGTTTGGAAAGTCGACGTTTTGTACAATTCCTTTCCTCTGATACTCCGATCCACGAGCAACACTCACGACATCTCCAGGCCTCACATCGTAGCCCCTTTCCTGTGTGTATTTGAGGGTATCGGGGAGTTTGGTCCGCTGAACGACTGCTACAGGAACTCGAATTCTTGACGGTCCGACACTAGTACCCACATCGTCCCCAGCTAACATAGGGTCTGTATCCCGGAACCATAGCATTGCGCTCCCGGTGGGGAACCACTCCACGATGCCGCATTTCTTCCAGTGCTCGCCCGCAAGCACTTCTATGTGATCTCCTACTTGTATAGATTCGGACTGAGGGGGAGGCTCGAAGCGCTGCTGCATGGATAGCTGCGGGTGAAAGACGTGATGCAAGGGGCGACGATCTAAGTAGTATCTCGAAACAAGCACCTATGAAATGAGTGTTAATGAATCGTAAGATTGTAATTTATGCGTAAAACCAACCTCTTCTTTGGAGACTGCCTGACAAATGTGGAACATATCATCGCTTATTTGAATGATGTGGCCCTCCAGACCCAAGTATGGACCTGCAACGACTCGAATTTCGTCGCCAACATGAAAAATACGCTCTAGATCCTCCAGTCGAACGTCAATTTCTCTTCGATGTCTATCGAAGGTTATTTCCAAGCGCACGGAGCCAGAAGCGTGATCCGTCGAAACGACTGTACCGATCTTTGAGCGAATTTCTCCTGCAATAATCCTGACCAAATCGCCTGTGCGCAAGAATTGCATCGAAAACGCGAACAGTGTTTTCCTGACGAAGGGTGTGTCCCACGCAGACTGCATGTGCAGTTTGATGTCATCAGCATGAGGAGAGGCAACAATTTCTAAGCGATCACGGTGAAATTTTTTCACCAAGAGTCCCATGTAGTATTGTTCGCCTCTATAAGAGCATCCCACAACTTTCCCATCACGGAGAATATCGCGAACGGCCTGGTCATTAGGGAGGAGGCATCGGTCGAGTAGAGCCACAGATCCACCAGGCATGGGATAGGGAAAGTCCCGGAGAGCGATTAAGATGGAGACGAGACCATTAGGTTGATCGGAATCGAAAACGTAGCCTATGTCGCCCTTGTACTTGCCGTATTTGATCCTCACCCACCCTGGGTTAGGAAGTTTGGAGTGTGAGTGTTCAATCGCTTGACGTTCTTCTTCTGAGATTCGAACGTATTGTTTAACGGCGAAACTATGTGAGGGCGGGAGTGATGCTGCGATGGTTCTGGGGCTGTCTGCGACAACATACAACTGGCCTGCTACCCAACCGGACACAGTAACGAGAAATCCTTGACTCCGAAGGTGTTCGGCGATGTAATCTGCGCCATTTCCTGGCATGCAATGAGTGGCATACCACGACATTAAGGATGAACGTACTCTGAATATGGAGAAGGTACATTCTGCCTTCAATCGCCCGGGGGAACGAGGCGGCCTTGCGATGGCGAGCATGGCGCCCTTCTGATGAAGAAGGCGGGTTCTCTTGGATCCTATCGTAAATGTTATCGAATGCTGCTGCCAACCTATCCTTGGCTGATGGGCCAGAAAGGTGTGTGGCTGTCGGCAACCGCATTGAAGGGCCTTCTTCATCCTCTTCACCCTCTTCATCCTCTTCATCCTCTTCACCCTCTTCATCCTCTTCTTTCTCGTCTGCTTCGGTGATGATGTACGGATTCGACTATACGTGTTGTTTTAGTAGCAAAGTCGTCAGAATGATATCACACTTACTCTGAGTGGTTTACACGATTGTTTGATACGAGTGCTGGAGCCTATCCTCGACTACATCTATTTAGTATTCAAGTCATAAGGAATGATAAATACACTTACTTTAGGACGTTGACGCGATCGTTGAACGGGAGTACTTGAGAGGTGGCCGTTCATCCTCGATGAAGACGAGGGCAGAGGCATGTGTCTGGCCTTCAAGGCGTAAAGGTTTGCTAAGGCAATGCTGTCGTCGCCGTCGCCAGAGAACAACGCGTTTCTAGCATCCTTCCAGTCGTCTGCAATGTATCGATCGCCGAGGTATGAAGAAAATGCCTCATCCATCTGAGGATATGTCATGTCGGTAGTGAGGAACTGTTCAAGAATGCACCATGCGCCTTGATCTGCCAATGGCGATGGCGCCGTCCGCAAATTCCCTACCAGACACAGGCTCATGAGTGACTACAATGACGATATTTGATCATGACTCACCGTCATTAGCACTTCGCGCGCGCTTCAAGTTCGACGAACACTCATCATCACTAGAACATGCCGCGCGCTTTGACATTTTGAGAATCTAGTTAATGATAACGTCAATTACTGCAGCACATAACGAACCCAAAGACTCACATGTTACTACGTTATACTCACAATTATCCTTTCAAGACAGCAGCGAAAGAAATTTGTTTGGCAATTTGATTACGGCGGAGTCTTCATAGCAAATAATGTATTTAGACAACGTGTTCTTGCGCGCAGCAACGTTAAACTAAGTACCTCAGACATTATATATAATATTCGATGAGGAGCTCACGCTACATGCTACGTACTGTCCAAATAAATGATAAAAGTCAGAAAGAATTCTAGGTACGCGAGAAGCATTGATATACGGAACGACAATTGTTATTCAAACCCAGTCGGCAATACCCGGTATAGGACGCCTTCACAAACTTAGTATTAATGCTGTAAGGTCACTGAAACATAGATTGCTTATATTGCTCATGCATAGCAGATCAACGGTACCGACTGACCAGGCGTGTCGAGACCCACCCATATTGAGCGCACAATCTGACGTTTGTACAGCTTCGGGATATTGAGACCCTCGTTCAGCAACAAACAGAGACACTGGAAAGCCAAGGCAAGGAAGATGACAACCTTCAAGAGATCCAAAAGATCCTCTACTCGACAGAGGTAGGCACCTCATTTATACTCATCTTCATCTCTCTTTAGCTTATCCGAAACTCGCCGGCCTGAGCAGGATGGTTTCGAAGTTCCTGAGAACGCTCCTGTCGATGAAGAGGAAACTTTCTGATTGTGCATGCCGCTGGAGTATAGGAAGAAGTTTTCGTGTCATATCCTTTTACCCTCAAACCAAATGTTCATTAGCATTCACTTTACATCTTGCACGTTTTCGTTGTTCCATCTCCATGTTCGCCAATCTCTGGCCGTCGCTATTCTGGCCATCACGAATTAGCGCTTCGCTATTTAGTATCGACTTCAATGTCTCACCATTCTCTTCATTCTCTCCGCCTCTGACTTTCCCCTTCTATTGCTCAAAATAAGATGATGCAAGGTGAGTTTAGACGGGGTGGAAATGATCTTTAACTCACTAATTGTTGACCGAAAATAGCCCATTCCTCTCCAACTTACCTGTACTTTCCGGACAAGAACAAAGTCCTGAGGATTCTCCAGCTACCGGTATGTACTATGTATAATAACTTGCACCTTATGGATCAATTGCTGATACTTGCCGTTCAGAGTGATCCGGTTCGGCATCGGCTATCAATCATTGCTTTTCTCTAACTTGTGATTGCAGCACCCATTCGTCGGATTCACGGAGCACTTTCGTCTAATAGGATATCTTGCGAGCACCAACCGGGAGCTCTCGCCCCTTTACGTGAGTTTTGTTCAGAATCATCTATCTTATCTCATCGTGTTGGTTTGCAGCGTGCAGAGCATGTATCGACGAACTCAGAACACAATATTCTGGATATCGTCGGCATACTGGCTGTTCCAAGCCACAATAGAGTAATGTTTTCCGAAGTATATGAAAAGAAGAGGGTGAGATCTTGATTTTAATGGAATTTTGTCATTGACAGAATGGACATAGACCGGCGACGGCGATTTTCTGCGGTTGATCGACAGCGAACTTTGTCGCCCAAATGTATTAGGGTGTACAAGTGTTGTGTGGCCCGTGAGCATTACTTCCGGTGCACAATGTTGCTGAGAAATGATTTTGCTCATCCACAGCTTGGCATGTTGGATTCTTCCATCCGCTTCTATGTAGCACCATTCCCAGATGGATTCTCGCCTTGCAGCCCTCTCGCTGCCAGTGAGGTTGCGCCTTTGAATGACTTCATGATTCGTACCCCTCGCAGTGCCATCCAATCTCACCGCTCTTCCAAATGCAGAATTCACGTCTATACGTTCGCAAAGAGCTAATCTGCAGGCGCATTATTTATGTTTCGACAAGATATTTTGACCGAGAATGTGTTTCACGCTACACTTTGTGTATTTTCATTCGAAACAGTGATTTACTACCAGTGAGAGACTCAGGAACGACATGATCATTGGGGATGAGGTGTGTTGATATAATGTACTATTAATGATAAAGTACTGCCACAGACCTTGCAGCGCAGAGTTTGGTATGAGATCCAAGACTCAAAAACAGTACTCAGCTTGGCCAGAATGACTACGCAGACGCGGAATCGAACGCTGAGTCGGGATTGGCCAGACTAGTGCTTCGGAATACGTTAGGCGGGATTCCAATTTTAGAACTCAACTGATATTTATCATTGTTTAGTCGCTGGCTGAATCTGAATCTCGATCGTCAACATCTAAATTTAGGATTATCGATCAATTCGCGCTCCCGCAAACTACTTTGGGTGATCTGAAAGGTGAGCCCCTTTCTGTCACTTTATTGGCAGTAACGTAAACGAAATTAGATGTCTCGTATGGTACACACAGTGTGCATGGGGCCGTTACCCAGTCAAAGACAGAAAAATTCTAGTGAGCATTGTTTGTGATCAGTGGAAGTATCGGTACTATGTTTTATCAGACGCAAGTTGACATATGGATGGACTCTGTCAGTCCGTCTAAATTTTTACTTTCCTGCCGGCGACTTATCGCCTCATCCAGCAACCAAATCAATTTCAACCTCAGACTGTCATCGCGCCGCACTCGCGCCATCTGGCAGCAATCAAGGACGGCTTCGACCGCATCGTGAATAGAGTGAAATCAACGCTTGGGGTGCGTGTTATCATTCTGATTAGAACAATCACTCAAGAACGCCCGAATTAACTAGCTATAGATCATATCATGATAATGTACATGACGATGTGAAGCCTGAGGGCTTTGTACCACAATACCATTAGAATCAATACCTGCTGTAGCATATCACTATTCAACTCACCACTACTACTTCCTTTCATGGCGCCCAGTTTGAATATCTATCATCCTGCAACATATACCACTACATACATATGCATCTAGCAGCAGCAATACATTGTGATGACTACCACGCGATAATCGGCTGACATTTCATGTAAGACTACATACAAATCTAACATATGCGAAGGAACGATCAATTCAGCGAAGCATCCGTGTGCACGTGACTCCTATGGCAAGAGTGATTGCTAATTTTATCATCGTACGTACTGTGCATCTCATCGTGTGAACAACCTCGTGCCAGCACGTTGGCAAGTCGAACCGTCATCATGGCCACAATGGTACATTTTATCTTGAGTTCCATTGAAGCTACTTACTCAATCTGTTATGCAAGATCCCAGCTGAGGGAATTGACCGAGACATTGAGCTGCTCAGTCGCAGTGTTCCTGTCTGGCCGACACAGCTACGGCGGTACACCGAAATAACACTACCATGAGCGTGCATTGCTACTGTGACCGACATTGAGTACTAATTATGTGGTCAACAGCGAATCTTTAGGTCGCGATTACAACGTGCAGAAGATGCAGATCGACTTCGCTCAGTTCGTTACCTTTATTTGTGATAAAGTTGATTTAACTGCGATATCGACAGCCGTGAAGTGCGCGGGCATTGGGAAGAGTTTATTCATCCGTCAGGAGCTATATACCACTACAATGCGAAAAGTGTGAGTACCGCCTTATATTTTAAATTTCATGCTCACTTATTAGCGATAAAGAAAACATACACAGGGATGAACGTGAGGGACTGTTCCAACGAACAGCTCCAGAAGCTCGAATCTTGGATCAAGGTGTCAAGATCCAGACTAGATGGAAAGCCGTGGTTGTTGATCGTCGAGCCGATCTTAGCGAGAGGGAAGGAGATCTACCCGTATTACTACGTGGTACCCGAGAATCGCGTCATTACCTGGATCGAGCCCGTGGATGGCTACCTCCTGTTTCAAGAATGTACAACGGTATGGCACTGGAACCACAAAAGTACGTTACGTTTTTTGTGTATCGATTGAAGTTTATTGTATAGGACTTGAACTGGAGGCCCAATATTGGTGAGCGATGTTCTGACGGAAACAAACCAGAACATTTCTCACTGTTGGAATAGGAAACACGTTGAATATTTTCCGCATGGGATTGAAATTCATCGTTCGGAGGTGAAAACTTTCCGACTGCAATTGAATTGGTATCGCGTAGGTGAGTTGTTTATATTGTAGCGCCAGATGACAATAATCTAATTGACGAACAGAGGCCTTAGCCTTGGAACAATCTATTGCGGGCTCAATATTCTGGACCTTGGAACAAATGAAAGAAATGATTGCTGAGCTAGCTACTGCAGGTACGCACCCTGATTTCAATTTGGGTCTTCAAGTTGATGGCCGAAGGACAGAAGGACTTGCAAGAAGTGATGGAGTCATGGAAGAGCAAGGCGTCGCAATCTGCGGTACGTGAGTCTTGTAAAAACAGGCGATTTTGAACTTATATCGTTACATTCTGGCAGGTAAATTATTCCACATACTCCGTATGATGTCCCTTTCTCATATCAGACGTTGTTGATTGAGGCGCAAAACAGGACATCACGAATATCTGAACCACCATGGCCAACCCGAAGCTCGCTTGATGCGAACACATTCACTGGGTGAGAGGCGCAGAGATCTGGAAAAATCTCCCTTCATCACTGCCGTTGCCGTTGCCATGCTCTGGATCCCAATAATGGTGCTCAGACGACTCCAAAAAATCTACGTTGATGGTCTTGTCAATGGGGTCGACATGAAGGCATTCATAGACGATTTCAGTGCACAAGCTAAATCCCAAACTACGGTTGTAAGTGCTATGTCACTGACCTATGAAGGCGCTTACCGCTTAGGCTGCTAGGCAAGTGTCATCATGGCAGTTAACGCCAGCATTCTTGCCATCCCAGGTTTGGGTTCAACACTTGCTACAAAGACGCTATGCTCCATATCTTTTGTTTTCAGTGTCTACTGCATTATCGCATGCACGATGGCACAACAATTTGGTCAACGAATGCGATCCCTTGACTTTGCGGTTCGACCATTTTCTTATTTCTACCGTCTGAATTTGACATTAGTGCTTGGATAGGCGTATTACCTGCAAGGCAAGATGGCCAGTTTTGTGATTATTGCAAGCATACCAAGTCTTTTATATCTCTCGAGGTAACCAAACATTCGATCTCGATTGCTTGTGTTACTCACAGCAACAGTTTGGCCTTTACCATTCTCGGATTTCTCACAGGGATTTTCGAAGCTGAATACGGTTTACCCTTTACTGCGAGGATAGGATGTGGGTTGGCCCTTATTATTGGCACAGGCCTTACAATTCCGTTGGCGATCGCTGCTTTAGGTCCTGGGCTGATCGGGTAATGAGAAATCGAGTCTTTCCTGATAATGGGATAGGGATGGACGATGTAGATACTTGTTTTTGAAGATATATAGCCGATCGCATCCTGTACATGGTCTCAGTCGTGAATTTAGCTAATAATTGAAGGGCTCTCTAGAACAGCGTTGATCAAAACTTTACATAGTGCGTGGGTGTTACAATTTCTGACAGTTTATTTCCCTGGACACTTCATAATTGAGATCCAGACCACACTACATAACTATTGCGAGGATATTGTAACTCTTGACAACGTATCTCCATAGACACATTGTTGAAGGTCAAACGTCGTTATCAATAGATAGCGCGGACGTTCAATCATACGCTTACATAATCACGCTCATTGTTTAGACTTCACATACGCTAAACACACCTCAGTTGGTTCTATACAACTGAGGTGAGATACATTTGTTACTTACTAGTACAGATACTAACGAGCTACCTAGTTTATCTTCTATAGGTACATATTATATATACAGTTGGTTCTATACAACTGAGTTTATCTTCTATAGGTTATGAGCCCTGCGCTCTGAAACTCGGAAGAAAATTTTACGCGAAAGCTCACCAATCAAAGCTGCACTATGTCCTTCACTACAAAGTTAGGAGATGAGTTCTTGAAGGTTCCGAAGCTAGATGCTTCAGGAAAAGACTGGCCTCTATGGAAAGGCAGACTCGAACTCTCATTGTCAGCAAGAGGGCTCATGGGGCACCTCACTGGGACGGTATCAAAACCGACGAATCCGGCTGACGGGAAATCCGCTGGGTGGTTACCATCATCACCAGACGAGATCAAAGCAGTGCAGACTTATGAGAAGGAGCTCGCAGAATGGCTCGAAAAAGATGCCGTGGTCAAACAGCAAATTGCTGTCGTGTTGCCAGACAGCCTATTTGTCAAGCTTCTCTCAAAGCCAACAGCAAAGGACTACTATGACACGCTCAAGGCTCAATTTGAGCAGCGGTCACTAGTTGTCAGTGTTGAGTTGCGGCGAAAGCTGGGGGAGATGAAGCTCAAAGAAAACGGTGATGCCCGGACCCACATCGAGAAGATCACGCTGATCTGCGAAGAACTTGCGTCAATGGGAAAACCCATATCCGACGAGGACCTATTTAATATCATTTTTGCGTCACTACCCCGAAGCTATAATGGGATATTAACATCCGTTGCATCAAGTATCAAACTCCATCAGAAGACTCTTACCTCCGATGACCTAATGGGTCTTATCCTCGACGAGTATGACCGGCTCGCACTACAGGATGGTGGAAAGTCGAAGCCGAAGAACGAGGATGCTGCTTTCCAAGCAGACGGCAAGAGATGGAAAGGCCGAAACTCGAGAAACCCCATTACCTGCCATAATTGCGGCTGGAACGGCCACAAGAAGGAGGATTGCTGGGAAGAGGGTGGTGGAAAAGCTGGTCAGGGACCAAAGAACTGGAAGTCGCGCGGGAAGAAGAACAAGTCTGGGGGCGAGAACTCGAAGTCAGGCCAGAGAGCAAACACAGCTAACGAGAAGAAAGACGAACCTGATGGTGTCTGGCTTGCAACAGTGGAAGATGCATCACCCGCTAGCGCAGGAGCAGCAACTAGCACCACTGTCGAACTTTATGACAGCGGAGCCTCACAGCATATGTCCCCTTATCGAGATCGCTTTATCAACTTCAAGTCAATTTCCCCGCACCCCATCCAAGCCGCTGACAAACGCACCTTCGAAGCCATAGGCAGGGGTGATTTACCCATCGAACTTCCAAACGGCAAAAGCAAAACTCGTATCCTGTTAACGAATGTTCTATATGCACCATCAATGGGAGTAACACTCGTCTCAATCAGCCGACTCACCTCTGCTGGGTATGCAGCACTTTTCCGTGATGAATCTTGCAAGATCTTCGATGCCAATAAGAAGCTATTAGGCGAAGTTCCCGTTAGAAACGGCTTGTATCGAGTACGGCGTCCACTTACCTCATTCGCGGGGGTCACCAATACACCCAAAATCTTGACCATGGAGGAACTCCACAAGCGTATGGCCCATATAGCACCATCATCCATTCGCGAGATGCTGGTAAAGGGCATGATTGACGGCATCAAGCTAGACCCTACACACGAGACTATGGGCCAGTGTGAATCATGCGAGTATGCAAAAGCAACACGGAAACCCATCGGGGACTCACGGGATCCAAAATGACACGAGAATCTCGGTGACGAGGTCCACAGTGATCTGTGGGGACCCTCTCCTACCCAGACACAAGGTGGCAAGAGCTATTATTGCTCATTCACGGATGACCATACCCGCTATACTTCCCTATACCTTCAATCAGCAAAATCGGACACGTTTGGGTCTTATAAGACTTACGAAGCATGGCTGAAGACTCAGCATGGGGCCAATATCAAGCGCTTACGCTCGGACCGTGGTGGAGAGTACCTTAGCGATGAATTCAGCCAACACCTTCGCGCTAAAGGTACAGAACGAAAACTTACCACTCACGACACACCACAACACAATGGTGTCGCCGAGCGGCTGAACAGGACCCTCATTGAACGAGTCCGTGCAGTCCTGCATGCAAGCGGACTGCCGAAATTCCTCTGGGGAGAAGCTATCATGCATGCGGTCTATGTAAAGAACCGCACAGCCACGCGCACGCTAGACGGCAAGACCCCATATGAGATGCTGTATGGTAAGAAGCCAAACCTTGCAGACTTACCTGTCTGGGGCACTCGTGTATGGGTACATGATGACACTCGAACAAAGCTGGATATGAGAGCACGTGAAGGCCGGTGGGTAGGATTCGATGCTGAGAGTGGAGCACATCGAGTTTACCTCGAGGATCGTCGAACGGTCGCTGTCGAACGAAACATCTCGTTTGAGAGACAGGTTGGGACTGCATTGGGTCAGCGAAGCTCGCGGCCTGAGGAGGAGAGCGAAACTACAAACGGTAATCAGCCAGCAACTCCTCACACTGCCCAAACCCCTACCTCGAGCACAGAAGCTCCAGCACCCGATCCACTAGGATCAAACTTCGAGCATCAGCCACCCAGCCCTAGACGATCCACTTGTCAGCGGACAGAATCACCATATATGCGCAGGCTACGCAGCGGAGAAGGTACTCACGATGGAAGAGATGGCGACCCAATTATCCCTAGAGGCATGCAGAGGGTAGAGGAAGAGAGAGAAGAAGATAGCAGAGGTATGGGAGCATGTGGAGAAGGGTTAGGAAGTGAATTGGGATTTGACGAAGAACCTACCGCTTATGCGATGTTCGCGGGAATGAGCGAGGCCGAAGGCATGGAACCAAGCACTATTGAAGATGCGAAGACACGATCTGATTGGGCGAACTGGAAAGACGCCGTCAGTGCGGAACTAAAGAGTCTCGACGAAGCACGTACCTGGGACATTGTCCAACGGCCCAAGAACAAGAACATTGTTAGCTGCAAGTGGGTCTTCAAGATTAAAAGGAACGCTGCAGGAGAAATCGATAAGTATAAGGCCCGGCTGGTGGCACGAGGCTTCACGCAAGTCTATGGTGTTGATTACTACGAGACTTATGCACCTGTGGCTCGTCTCGCGTCATTGAGACTGATCCTTGCTGTCGCCGCACGCCAAGATTGGGACGTTGATGTCTTCGATTTCCACAGCGCATTCTTGAACGGCAAGCTGGATGCCGACGAAGAGATCTATATGGAGCTACCACCAGGAGCTGACATTGGAGGGAAGGACAAAGTCGCAAAGCTTCGAGTTGCGCTGTATGGATCTAAACAAGGCGCGTTAAAATGGTACAAACATTTATGTGGAGAACTCGCTGAGCTAGGGTTCGAACGGATGGAAAGTGACTGGGGAGTGTTCACAGCGCACATAGGAGAAGACCTACTCATCCTCGCAGCACACGTTGACGACTGCACCATAACCGGCAGCTCGAAAGAGCTAATCAAAGCGTTCAAGGTCGAAATCGCATCGCGATTCAAAATAACTGACCTAGGACCTATCAGTTGGTTACTAGGTATGAAAGTCACTCGAAATCGCGAAGCACGTACCATTTCGCTGTCCCAAGAGTCCTTCGTCGAAGCTATTATCACGAAGTACAATTTCATCAACACTAAACCCGCAGCGGTGCCTATGGACCCAAGTATGCAGTACACAAAGGACCAATCCCCCACTACGACAACGCAGATCGCTGAGATGAAGCGAGTCCCATTCCGTTCCGCGCTCGGGTCGTTGATGTACCTGGCAGTGGGAACACGTCCAGACGTCGTGTTCGCAGTTTCGACCCTGGCACAATTCGCCGATAACCCTGGCTGGGCACACTGGGAAGGGGTGAAGAGAGTATATCGTTATTTGTTGGGCACGAAGAAGTGGGCACTTACCTTCGGAACGACAAAGAGCGGACTCCTCGGCTACACAGACGCAGACGGTGCCTCCCAAGAACATCGGCGAGCAATTACTGGCTTCGCGCTGCTCGTAGACGGGGGAGCAATACTCTGGGGGTCGAGGAAACAAGAGTTAGTAACACTCTCGACGGCAGAAGCAGAGTATGTAGCAGCAACACATACTGCGAAAGAGATCCTCTGGCTCCGACGTCTCATCTCCGAGGTTTTTCGTCCACTCGAGCACCCAACGACCCTCTACTGCGACAATCAATCAGCCATAGCGTTGACGAAGGACGGATCTTACCACACACGCACCAAACACATTGACATCCGTTATCATTTTATTCGTTTTTCTGTTGAACAAGGTTCTATTAGTTTTCTCTATTGTCCCACTGATAGTATGGTGGCAGATACACTTACCAAAGCGCTCCCCAACATCAAGGCCAAACATTTCGCGTCCGAGCTTGGTCTCCGCGCCGCCGTTTGAAGGGGAGTGTTGAAGGTCAAACATCGTTATCAATAGATAGCGCGGACGTTCAATCATACGCTTACATAATCACGCTCATTGTTTAGACTTCACATACGCTAAACACACCTCAGTTGGTTCTATACAACTGAGGTGAGATACATTTGTTACTTACTAGTACAGATACTAACGAGCTACCTAGTTTATCTTCTATAGGTACATATTATATATACAGTTGGTTCTATACAACTGAGTTTATCTTCTATACACATCACAACTGTGAGCATCGACAGTACTGCACAAATATTACAACGATGCTGTAGCTGACCTTAGGCTAGCCGGGTGCTGCCGGCGGAGTTTCATTCTGAATGTCAATCAGTATATGAACCCTGTCGCGTCATCGTGTTAACCTTTCTCACCATCCACCCAGCCCTGCTCGTACATGAGTTGCTTATGGTTGTTACCACTTGAGAGAGATTCATAGTGAAAGAATATATACTCGTAGTATTAGTGCAGTTTACACATGACAATAACGTAGACTTTAGAATGACGTGAAATAGTATTGTATGGAGCCTCAGATGATTGTGAGATCTCGCCTCCATAATCTAAATGTATGATAACCTAACGCAAAGAATTCAGATCGAACACATCGTTACTTGATATTCAAGTTATGACGTACCCTCAATCGGCAGGACGTCCCGAATTTGAGCGAGGCCTCCTTTTTCGAGGATAATACATTGTCGGTACGTAGGGTCTCCTGACGAATTTCTCGACATTTACTTATTCAAATATTAGCGATCCACCATGCTTGACTGCTAGACCAACTCACACAAATACCCGCAAGTGTGGGTTGCGCATTCAGCAACGTACTCCCCTTGGGATACTCCCCTGGATCGCATGACAACTGCTGCCTCAACATATCTGTCCCCTGATGCGCAAAGACAGCATGGGTATCGAAATACATGCGCCTCACGGTAAGCCGAAAATCGCGAAGGATGGATTTTGTGTCCACGCCGGTCGGTCGGCCTGTTGGGTGGGTTTCATTGTGAGTGAGGAACTGATGTTTATGAAAATACTTAATTTACCATAAATACGTTGACAGTTCCCCCGTCTGACTGTGGTAATGAAGAATTCCATGGCGGGCAGTCACGATCCTAACAAGCAAGTTCACGACGTGTTGGTCAACTTCGAATTCCGGGGGTGCGAGCGTGGAACATTCAGAGCATGGGGAAGATGGTACGGACATATCAGGTTATGCAGTGTGTTCTAAATGAATTCAGACATTATATAGGCGAACGGTTCATATCACGGTATCCGCGCCATCCTAAGTGCATTTGGATGCGAAGTGCAATTTTACGGCACTTACCCCGCCGCGCCATCCTGATTTGCATTTGGCTATGAGCACGACATTCCATCAACCCTTCGCTGTATGACAAGCAGATTTTATGCACCGGTCAACCGTCCATGTCATCCAGCTATACCTGCGCCTGCAAGCGAACTTTTACAGCACAGAATTACTTCAGTCACCATCAGCGCTCGTGCGCCCACACGAAAAAGCGATTGTCATCGGCTATATCTTCATTTAGAGAGTTCGTAGGACGCAGGAAAAAGGCGCGCACCTCACCTGGCCCTGATACATCGACGAGGGAAGTGCCTAATGCGCCATTCGCTCACCTCAGCTCCAGTGATGCCAATACTCCAATCGCAAATCAATATTGCGAGCCAGAGGTTGCTCCTCTGCCTGCACGACCTCCTTCTGGAGGAGGGATTGCGCCCTTGGATCATGAAAGAGGCATTGACGGAGGGGATTGCGAGCCAGAGGTTGCCCCTCCGCCTGCACGACCTCCTTCTGGAGGAGGGATTGTGCCCTTGGATCGTGAAAGAGGCATTGACGGAGGGGAGGACATCAGCTTGGCACAGCGGAGACCGCGACGTCAGAACCGCCAGCTGCCCCTAAGATTCAGGGATGTGCTTCCTCAGCCTCCACCCACGGTGCCTATGGAAGTGCGAGCCCAACCTCCGGAATCTGTCGGATCTGTTGTCACTTCAGCTCAACGACTCGCCGTGCGTGCGCGCACAGTTTTTCGTACCCCGCCAAATATTTTTGGGCTAGTGCGTCAATACTTCTCTTCGCAACCGCCATCCCACGACCCGGAAGAGTATATCACTCTCGAAGACCTCTCGTTCATACCGCGCAGCCCTCAAGTTCCTGACCAACCCTATCCATTCGCTGCTTCGAGTAGCGAATCTCAGTACTATCCATATCCCAATCGCTCTTCCTTTCAGCTTGGCGACTGGTATTGGAACCAGGGGGTCCAAAAGTCACAAAGCGATTACACTAAACTGCTGGAGATTATGGACGGCAATACATTCAATGTTGCCGACGTGACGTCTACTCACTGGAAGAAAATCAACTGCCAGCTGGGTGCTAATGAGTACGACGAGGGAGATGGGGAAGAGTGGGAGGATGAAGATGCTGGATGGAAATGCACACCAGTTTCCATCGAGGTCCCTTTTTCTCGCACTACTGATATGCCAGGCCCTCGGCTTTACAGAGCCGCAGATTTGTACCATCGTTCTCTAGTGGCTGTGATACGGGAGAAGCTCGCGAATGCGCGGGACGACAAACTTTTTCATTACGAGCCGTACCAGCTCCGTTGGAATCCCCCCCACCTGGATGACGAAGTGCTCATATACGGGGATCTCTACACGTCTCCGGGTTTCCATGAGGCCCACAGCCAACTGCAAGAATCACCGGGGGAACCAGGGTGTGACCTACCCCGAGTAGTGGCTGGTATGATGTTCTGGTCCGATGCAACGCAACTTACTTCGTTTGGAACTGCCAAGCTCTGGCCCACATACATGTACTTCGGGAATGAGTCGAAGTATCGCCGGTGCAAACCGTCGTGTAACTTGAGCAACCATGTTGCTTACTTTGAAACGGTAAGCGTGCCGAGCTTGTGGGCATTGAGGTATACTCAAGGTTGTGTCGCCAGCTTCCCGACTCCTTCAAAGATTTTACTGGCGGGACCCACGAGGGTGCAACTCACTGTCATCGCGAGTTATTTCAGGGGCAGTGGAAAATCTTACTGGACGAGGAATTTATAGAGGCGTACGCGCATGGAATTGTCATCCGCTGCTGCGACGGGATCATGCGTAGATTTTATCCTCGGATATTCACGTACTCTGCAGATTATCCTGAGAAGTGCGTGATTTATCCCCGATTATATTATGTTGATTCTGATTTCATCAGAGTCCTTATAGCCACGGTTCGAAATTTAGGAGGGTGTCCATGTCCTCGTTGCCTCATTCCAAATGATCGGATACAAAATATTGGAAGGCCGCGGGATAGACAGCAACGCTCCACCCTGGAACGCAGTGCTCACCAACGAGGAACTTTGGTTAGCGAAGCAAGGAGATTGATTTACGAAAACAACTATGCAGTCAACAGCGCAGCGGTGGAACGCATTCTCAAGTCACACTCCTGGGTCCCTACCTCTGTGAGACTTGATTCCCGATTGCTGACAAGTACTAACCATGTCTCAGAATGCTTTCATAGATCGCCTCGGTCCAATGGGATTCAATATCTTTCATGCTCTGGTGGTAGATCTTCTACATGAGTTTGAAATCGGTGTATGGAAAATGTTATTTATTCACTTGTTGCGAATTATTGCTGCGCATGACAAGAGCTTAATTCATCGATTGGACGAGAGGTATGGTGTCAGATACCGCGTTGCTTCAGCTGACCTCTACCATCAGGTATAGGGAAACCCCGACGTTTGGCGCAGCCACCATACGAAAGTTTTCGTCTAATGCTTCCGACATGAAACGTATGGCGGCACGAAACTTTGAGGACCTCCTCCAGGTATAAGTTCACCGCATATCGATATTGAGTAGGACACTGACGCGCTATGTACAGTGTTCTATCCCCGCCTTCGATGGCCTTCTTCCCGAACCGCATAATGGAATTGTCCTGCAGTTACTATTTACCATGGCTCATTGGCATGGTCTAGCTAAGCTGCGCATGCATTCTGACCTTACCCTCGATATCATGGATGAAGTGACGTCGGCGCTCGGGCAACAACTTCGTAAGTTCAAGGCTACAGTCTGCGCCGCGTACCAAACCCGCGAGCTGCGCCAGGAGGTTGAAGCGCGTGCCCGACGCAATGCAAAGAAGTCTGGGAAACAGCCCGCAGGACTTAAAGGAAAAGGAAGCTCTCGCCTTGCGGAGCAAGGGCAGGCAGGAAGATCAACTCAGAATGAGCAGCGAACGAAGATATTCAATATTCAAACGTACAAGTTTCACGCCTTGGGAGACTACGTGTCTACGATTCGCCAGTATGGCACATGTGATTCGTATAGTACTGAACCGGTGTGTCCTATGCTTTTCAACGATGAACTTGACTCATTGACTTGTTCAGGGTGAACTAGAACATCGTACTCCAAAGGCCAGGTATCGCCGCACCGATCGCAAGTCATTTGTCAAACAGTTGACTCGAATTGAACGCCGCCAGGCTCGCATTCGCCGTATCGGGGACAAAAGTGTTCATCGCCCCCATATCGACATTTCTGAGTTGGCGACAAGCCCTCATGCCCACCATCATATTGGTTTGACCCAAAAGTACCCTGTGCATATAGGATCGTTCTTGCGCAGCCACCAAGGAGATCCAGCCGTCACAGTGAGTCTATTCATGCCCTGTCAGGAGACTTCTAAACTGCTCCTGCAGAATTTTTTTTCCAAATTGAAAGCCCATCTATTGCTTCGTTTTGATACATCAAGTAGCACTGAAGATAACGATAACAACACAATAATTATAAAGGACGATCGAATGTATCGGCATAACATCGCGAGGTTTAACTTCACAACCTACGATGTTCGCAGAGGCCAAGATGTGATCAACCCGAGGACTCCCCATTGTAATGTTATGGTTCTCCGCGCCGACACTGACATAAGGCATGAAGGTCACAAATATATGTACGGGAAGGTATTAGCAGTATACCACGTCAACGTGATTTTTATCGGACGCGGTATGGTCGATTACACTCCCCATCGAATGGAGTTTTTGTGGATACGTTGGTATGCACCCATCGATCAGGACTCCACCTGGGAGACCCTGGACCGAGTGGACTTTCCGCCCCTAGAGGACGAGCACTCATTCGACTTCCTTGATCCCGCAGATGTACTCAGGGGCTGTCACATTATACCTCGCTTTGACAGCCGCAAGAGACATCTCGACGGATTGGGTGCGTCGGCAAGTGCGGGAGACAAGGATGATTGGTGCGAATATTTTGTCAATCGGTGAGTCACTCGTACCATATATTGTCATACGTAGCAAGATCTTCATGACATTTTTATGTTAGATTTGTTGACCGCGATATGCTTATGCGATTCCATTTCGGGCTCGGTGTTGGGCATGTGTACTCTCACCACCTCGCTCCGCAGGCTGCAATCCAGCAAGATAATATTGCAGCGCAGTCCGCGTCCACTTCTCATGTCGGAGAAGGTGATGAAGATGCCAGAAACTCTGGAGAGGATGACGAGGAAGTTGACGAGGAAGTTGACGACGATGATAATCCGATGGTGAATCCCGTTGAACCATGGTATGGCAGTAGCCAAGAATCGCTGTTAGAACAGTACGAAGAGATGTACGCGAGCGAGGTAGAATTGGATTACGAAAATTAAATCACATTACAGTGAAAAACGTAACGGTACTCCATCCACGCCTACTCTAGACACTCCATGGCATTGATTTCGGCTAATTCAGTGTCCAGATTTAGAGTACGTATAATATTTGATGGACAGGATCCGCTTTGAGATAGCGTCGAGGCGATTTTGCTTGATCTAGCATTGAATTAGAGTTTCAGAGAGGTACGCCCAATAAATAACTCGACGGCGATCTAACTCACAAATCCATCACCCTTTCCTTGTCTTGCCAATAGCCCACAGCTTTCTCGTCCAACGCTCACGACTATATGGATTCAGCTGCGATGTTTGACTCATTTTTGTTTGACAATCCCGGCCTCATGCCCAACTCTGTCAGTTTTTTATTACCTTCTCAACTCAGTAAACCTGCTCACTCAGTTCTTCTAGGGCAATTTCGTTGATCTGAACGATATCGACTTCATCGGTTACTTGTCTGTGGGACATGGGCCGACGCTGTACCCTTTATATGTAAGTACCCGTGTTTCTGAAGTTACAAATGTTTCTCATTGTCGGCCCAGTGTCGACCAATGCTACATATTGCAGTACGTGGTTGATTTTGTGAGAGGTTACATACTAATTTTCTTCTAGTTGACAGTACACATCTCACTCTACGCTTACGTTCTTACATCAATCGTCCATCGTTCAGTCTTCGAGACACAACAGATGGCGGAAGTTCCTGTATATGTCAATTCTGTAAGTCAAATCTCTACTGTGTTTGCGGTCCCACTGAGAAGTTTTGCAGTTTTACGCTGTGAATGCTCAAATAAATTTTCCTGCGAAGTCCACGAGGGCAGGTCCCGATAACCGGTTCTATGTTGTATATGATGGCGTAAGTCCGCCTTTCAAATCTATAAGTATCTCGCCTGACAATATATTGTAGGTTAGTTCTAATGTTTCTAGCACTGTCATTCATCTCGCCCGCCATCCCACAGGTTATTACCCTTGGTCCCACGTTGACCTCACAGCCTTTCAGGCTATATCAGATGCACCCAACAGTGGCAGTCTCCTGGTCATTCCTGGTCCCGCCCTCGCGATGCCAGGCCACGTAACTGCACCCGACGGTGCAAATGGTGACGAACATTCGATACCCGGAGACCCAGCCAGTGCCCATGCATCCCCAACAGCGACGTCAAACTCGCCGACCATCTTTTCCTGGATTTCGTGCTCGGGCCAAATGGTGCACAGCGCCCCTGCCAGTACCCATCAATCACAGGCAGATGGCGGATCAACTCGGACTTCCTCGCGACAAAAGGCGAAAAAAGCTGCTAAAGCCGAAGGAGGCCTCAAGAACGTTATAGGGAGATTGCCAAAGTGGAGAAAGGCCTTTGCCTACCTTCGGATCCAGCTACGAGTATCGGTTTGCACAGGCGAAACCGGAAACCCCCACCTGTTCAATTTTGAAAGCCGGGCAGCAGCTATTCAGCTAGCTTGGCCTCGTGCTCTCCATCGGGCTAACATCGACTCCGGTGATTTGGAAATGGGTGGGCAGCTAAATCTCACTGATAAGCTAGACATGCTGACTCCGTTTCAGTGATGTCGTTTAAAACTGGCACTTACATGACTCTTGAAAGTATATTGGAATTGGTGCGAATTATTTTTTACTTCCATTGGCGTAGCTCATCCCAGAATAGGCCAACCCATCGCTTTCAGAGTTTGTCTATGATATCAAGCGCCTGGCGTCTTACTCGATCGGCGACTCTCACGGAGGCTTTGGTTTTGATGACTTGGGTGCGGGTGTCTTATTGATTGACACGGTCCAAAGACTGCTCCAGCTGTTCATCAGACCAAAGTCAAATATCCTGCCAATTAGTGTGAGTGTTCCGCATCCCTTTGGTCGTTAATCTTATTTCACCCCACAGCTTAACGGTTTTGCCTGCTTTCTCACCCATCAGATCTCCAAAGAGATCATGTGGCACATCGTTTTCCGTCCAACTACATCACACTCTGTTCGACTGGTGTTGGCCGATCTAGAGCCAGCAACGTTCAGGAGTGTAGAGCATCCACCCTTTCCGACTATGTCTCTGCTGGGGTCCAATGTAAGTCTCTTTCCACTGTGTGTTTCATTCGTTTACGACGTCTTTAAGTGTTACGCTGCTCTGTTGGAGAAATATTCGACTTTGACCAACATACCCGTCGACCTGCTAATTCAGTATCCAACCCCGGCTGAGGTATATGATCAGCTCTGCGAGACGGCTGTAATACTTGTCAACGAGCACGACGACGAAGATCACCCGGGACTCATGTCTAGCTTGGCTAAATTGTGCAACATTTCGTAAGTTCATTCCCAACCTGTTGTATTGTTGCCTGATAAGAAGACAGGGTCACTGAAGTCCACCGACTTGGCCGAACACATGATTGACCTATATTCATGGATGTCACCTACAGTAGTCTTGTAATATATGTACATCGGTATCTGTTTTTTTGCAAACATTCGTTTTGGATAGTTCTAAGTTAACGGGAGTCCGCCATGCTGAATATCTCGAGTTCCGCGGAAATCGAGACACTTACCGTGATATATGATACTCGACCTTCCACTGGCTCGCTTCGCGTCAACATGGTGATGTCACAACGAGTTCGGTCCAGCTATTCATGCCCGTCAAATACCGCCGGGCTTTTTCGATGGTGTCCAGGTGAGTCATCTGCTTTTGTTGACCAGGTCTTGTCCTTATCTTTGTGCTCTCAGTCCTCCGCAGCGCACGGTACCCATCACAATTCCCCTACACATGACCCCCGCCGCCCTGCCTTTTCTTTGAATCCACGAACGCTATTCAGCGGCTTTTCATCGCTGTTCTGCCACTCTCACTCCAATACTGATGGAGCAACCGAACTCCAGCAACGTCCAAGGCGGACCATCTTCTCTCGCGGACCTCGCATTGTCGACGTTCCTACAGTACAGGACAGAAAGGTAAGTATTTCTTCGCGTGCGCATCGCCGTTGTTCAATGATTTATTTGACTCTCGCCTTTCGTTGATGCTTTTCAATCTGCCATGACACACGAAACACTTGGTAAACTAACTTAGAAACACTCCCCTCAAACATCCTCCAATCCCAGGATCCGCTCGATCTCATCTAACTGGTCCCACAGATCCCTCAACACATCACGTTTTTCCTCGACCATAAGGGTGAGGATGCATTTCTCCCGCCGCGGCATTTGGACGGGGAGTTGGGGCGGCTGCGCATACGGATGGTTTTGCCCGCGTTCAAGTAGGATCGCATTTGCGTAGTCCCAGAAGGCCTGGTACGTATAGTTAGATTATATCAATAACACAAACACTGACGACAGTTAGATCTTACCATCGCGGTTGCGGTGATCGCAAATCCACGCTGCGCCTCATACTGTCCTTGTCCCTGTCCCATAAATCGTCAGCTCCTACGTGTTGTGCTTACTGACGGTTTCTGCTTACCATTTCAGACGTCGTGGGCTGCGCCTGATCCACTTGCTGCCCGTGGTCCTCCTGCTGCCCCTGCACCTCCTGTTGCCCCTGCCCCTCCTGTTGCCCATAGTCTCCCTGGTTTCCCATCAGTGCCTGCCGCACGACATCGTAAGCATATTATCTATCTGGTACGACGCGTTGCTATTACTTACATTATAGTCGCTGAGAAGTTGTTGAATCTGCCTCAGATTGCTTTGTTAATCACCACGCATCAAACGTCGTCAAGACTTACATTGATCTCGTTGGCGTTCGCTCCAGCCATTGCGTTTGGAAAGAGTATAGTAATAAAGATGCACTTGATCGATGAAGTATGAGTCCTATCACGGTATGTACATGCTTACATAATACGGCCAAACTCTGACATTCCATGAGCAAGGGTTTACCGTCCTTGTCGAAGATGCCACCACCACCAACAAAGTTGACCCCCCCAGCAAAATTACCATCAGTGCTTGATTCGCAGTCCTCCGTCGCGACTTCCTCACCCGACGTCTTCTAATGCGCCACCGACATCCGTACTCCCAGCTCCACCGTCGAAGATTGCACCACCGCCACAAATTATTGTGCCCACTCCTCGGACACCATACCTGTCGCAAGCGAGCCCTTCGACCATGGAACCCAAGTCGCGTATGTTGATTGACGAACCAACTGCACTGGCACATTTCTTGTTTTATCCCTGACCTGCAGGTATTTTCCCATCCCTACTTCCCTGTATACATATATTAATTCTACCCACAGTCGAACAAGTCCCAATAGATGATTTCACCCTCCCCCTCTCCCGCGCCGAAATCCTCATCCCAGGATCCGACCTAACACTCCTAACATGGGGTACCCTCGTCTACCACTGTGAATCTGCCCTCCGTCTCCTCAACTCTCCACCACCCTCACTCGCACCCCTCGTCCCTCCATCCCTTCGCACCGCCAAAGTCGAACTCATCGACCTCCGAACGATATTGCCGTGGGACGTAGAAACAATCGTAGAGAGCGCGCTGTAGGAGACGATCTGGCTGCAGCCCCGTACAGCACCATTTCCCCTTACTGGACGAAGTCACGCATACCTTCCACAGGCCGTTGCGGACCATCACACGAGGTTGCGGAATCCATGCACTCATCGCATCGCAACGCACTATCCGTCCATGTCCTGTCTGCATCTGTCCGTCCTCACTGGTGCGTTCTCATCCTTAGTTAGTAATTCCTAACCGTTCGCAGGACCAGTTACATATCAGTTCCCAT